TTTTCAAAATCTTTGAGGTAGGAATGGTATGTACCTTTATATTTGGGCTTTAAATCAATAACTTTTTAGGATATTGGGTTTTTTCATGGGTCATCTATGGAAGGCATGAAGTCATAGAATCAGAAAAATCATCTCAATCAATTGTTGATTTTATAACTAGAAAAAAATTGAAGCACAACAGAAGATGAGGTGACTTGCCCAGAGCCATGAAGTGGCTCTTAGACAGAGGCAGGACTGGAACTCACCATTCTGTGAGTTTGGATTGTTAAGTCCAAAAATAAAAAAGTGACTACTTTGAAATTTGAGAGGAAAAAATAAATATTTTGTAATCACTTTCAATTCAAAAGATGAGTCCATTGGATTCTGCAATGCATTGAATGAAAAATAAGAGAAAGATATGAGGGCTTTCCTCATGAATGGGTTCCTAATTTTAAGAGCTATTCAGGTGTAGTGCCTAAGGCATTTGATTACTAACCAGAAGGCTGGTGGTTCAAAACCACCAGCCACTGCTTGAAAGGAAGACTGAGAAATCTATTTACGTAAAGATACTGCCTCGGAAGCTCAAGGAGGGGTCCCTATGAATTGGAATCAGCTCAATGGCAGTGAGTTTGGTGGGTTTATTATTATTATTATTATTATTATTCAGGTCCTGTTAGGGGTGTATGAGGGATAAGTATGCTCTGGACTTGGAGTTTTCCCTTCCATGGTGAGAGCAAGACTGCGTATTCAGCCTGGAAAATAGGAAGACAGGGAGTTTCTTACTGATTCTGCATCAACTAATCACTGCCATTCTGCAATTTCCTTGTGCATCTACCTGGAGTCACTGGGTGTTTCCTGCTGAACTTGATTGTCTCCTCCAAGCCACATCAACCCCTTAAGTTTTTCCTTCTGGGCCTTTCCCGAAATAAATTCTTGCCAGAAGGTATAAAAGGCCAGCTCCTTCAGGCAGAACAACTCCTCCATCTGCCACAGGAGGCCACAGTACTTGGCAGGTAAGACACCCTAACTTTAGTTTTCCTGGTTTCTGTAAAGCTGATGATGAAATCTCATAAAGACTTCTCAGAAATCATAATACTGGATTTGAACTTGCCTTCATTGAGCATTTTCTGTTCCAGATTTGGCTGCAGGTTCATCCCCGTTTGGTGGAAGAGAACATGATTGCCTTCATGTAGCAATTTGCAAGAAGGCTTTTTTTGTGCCTGAAAACTGAGTCATAGAATCATAGTTTTAAGGCTGGAAGGCACCATCAACATCTCCCATCAACCTGATTAGAAACTGAGGCCTAGGAAAGAGATAACCATGTGTTCAGGGTCACACTAAAAGTGGGAGGAAGATAGTAATAGAATGGGGTTCTGTGTAGTGTTCTGGGAACTCATATGACCTCACTACTATGTTGGAAATTTGGCGTCTTTAGGGGTTCCCGAAGGAAGGTTGGGCAATCCTACTTCTGTAGTGATACTGCCTCGGAAACCCAAGGAGGGGTCGCTATGAGTCGGGGCCGACTCGACGGCAAATAACAACAACAACAAGCTAGGGGTCTTGGATCTTCATCTCATTTCCAGCATCTCATGCTTGCTATCTGAAGCTCATCTGAACATCTAGTTAGCCCTGAGTTTTTAGTCCTAGGAGTCTTAGATGCCCTTAGACACCTGACCCTCAATCAAGTGTATGAATTGCAGCAATACTTGATGGGCTTCATTTCAGGTGAATGGAATGGTAGAATCATATCGACCATTTTTTTTAATGTTTCTTGTGTGATCAAGAGCTCCAAACCCTGGGGCTAAGATGGAAGACTGTTTCTATTATAGAGGATTGATCAGAGCTAACTCCTCTCCATTTTTCTCTTGATCCTAGAGCTGCTCAAACGATCAAGTAGAGTGTTCTTGGGAGTGATGGGTGTTTGTTGGCTCTCCTATTGGCTCATCCCACTATCCTCAATAGAACTCTCTCCATCCATGGAAGAGAATCCTGCTAGCTATTTCCATTCATGAGTCTTCCTCCAGCCCCCCTCAGGCAAGTCTGAGTGCCAAGCATTTGAAGGCCTCAGTACCTAGAGTATGGTCTGCAGACCAGCAACTTTGGTGTCGCCTGGTGCTTGTTGGAAATGCAGACTCTCAGGCCCCTCCTATGATCCACTGCGTCATAATCTGCATTTAGCAAGATCCTCCAGTGATTAATAGGTATAATCAAGTGTGAGAAGCCTGCTAAGGGACTAGTAACACCCTCTCCCTCTGCCAGCCTCCAGAGGCTGAGTGTCTCTGCTCTAGGAGTTTCATTCATTCAGGGTGTACCCAACACTTACTATGTGTCCGTACTGTGCTTGGGCACTGAGAAAACATAAATAAATAAGATATAACCCTTGAGGAGCACATGATGTTATAGGGGAAAGAGACATGAAAACAGCAATATGAGATATGAACAAAATACTGTGGAAGGACAGGGAAAGGAGTGACTTCATTTTGCATGGAGAAATCCGATCAACTTCACAGAGGAAGTGGCTTTTAGTCTGGGTTTTGAAGAATGAATAGTAGTTGTCAAGCAGAGAGGGCATTCCAGGCATAAGGAAGAGCATAAGATGAGGCATAGGCTTATGGAACAGCCTGGCATTGCAGGGAAAGAGGCTAGGTCTGTCTCGTTAGTGCTCCTCCATGTCCTCTAGGGAAGGCTCTAGATTCTGCTGCAAACCAAAGAGTTTGGGAAATGGTTTCTGCACTGACCATGATAATAAATAAGAATGTGGGCAAATATCGAAACTGATATTCTTATTGGCTTCTTGTTGGCCTCTTACTCTGTGAAGCCCATGGGCTGCCCTTTGCCCTGACTGGCTTGCACTGCAGACAGGGTCCCTCCAGGATCTTTTTTGAACATCCTTTTGCAGTGACATGACCTCATGTTTCCCTGGCTCTGTTTTCTGTCCCACATCCTTCTTCCACACAGACCAAGAAAGTGGGCTGGAAAAACAAAACACCAACCCATTGCCATCAAGTCAATTCTGACTCATGGAGATGCCATGAGTGTCAGAGTAGCAATGTGATCCACAGGGTTTTCTTGGCTATAATGTTACAGAAGTAGATCGTCAGATCTTTCTTCCATAGTGCTGCTGGGTGAATTCAAACCACCAACCTTTTGCTTGAGCTTAAATTGTTTGAGGCACCCAGGGTCCTGGAAAATCAGCCAAGCCATGTGAAAAACTTAGCTTTGGCCTAGAGGTCTTTCCCTACTCCCTGCCACTCCCCAGTGACATGAAAGGGAACAGGAAAGGGGTCCTCAGGCACAGGAGAGAGACACGAGCTTTAGAATTTTGTTTCCTGTTCAGATTTCTCAAGTTTCATATCTTCACCTTTGATGTTTTCACTTTGGTCTATCTCAGGAGATACTTTTTTCCCCCATAGACTAACCTTATACATTTTGTTTTTAGTTTATTATGAAAGACATTAGTCATTCAAACAATCATACAATAGATACTTATGTGCCTACCAGCCCTCTTAAAAAAAAAAAATCAATCATACCTTTTACTCCAAAATCATCTTTGCCTGAAAGGGCACATTTCTGCTGACTCAGTGGACCCTGTAATAGGTCTACACAAAGAAAAGGTGAGAGGGAAGGGAAGAGGGACCACAGAATGATTTTTCCCTATTTGGGGCCATAAAGGTATAGGGATAGGATTCCTCTGAGGGGCCAAGACACTTTAGAATTTGTTTTGGGAAAAAACAAATACCTGAAAGAATCTTGACTTGAGAGGTGTTTATTCATACTTTTCTTCTCCTAGAATTAGCTTACAAAAAGTTATTCAACAAGACAAAAATTATTAGGAAGATCATAAAAGGGCAAAGGGAAAATGGAGGGCCGTGAGGAAGGCTGAAACGACCTGACCTGGTCCAGTCAGTTCTGACTCATGGCGACCCCGTGGGTGTCAGAGTAGAGCTGTGTGCTCTGTAGGGTTTTTAATAGTTAATTTTTTGGAAGTAGATCACCAGGCCTGACTTCCAAGGCAGCTCTGGGTGAACTTGAAATTCGAACCTTTTGTTTAGCAGATGTGCTTGTTAACCATTTGTACAACTCAGGGACTCCTCTCCTCTTCTGGTCTGGCCTAACCCAAGGGGAGATTATCTAGAGAGAGTCTAGAGGACTGGTCAACAGTCTGTCAAGCAAAGCTCCAAAACCATGATTTATCTCTGGGGATCTTTGGGTAGAGATGAAGGTGGGAGCCTAACTTTTGTAGACATTTTGGGTCTACACCAAGTCCAATAGACACTCAAAGTCCAGAAGCCCCTCATCAGAAAACAAAGCTGCATGAATTTTAGTCTGGATGACGTTGACCAAGGTTAAAGCTCTTGACGAATGGTTAATCTAACAGCTCTCTAGGCAGTCTGGGACACCACTATGGGCTCTGAGGCGCTCTGAGCTTTGTCACAATGTTCACTCGTGCTCATCCATCAAATTGGTTCTTTGAGAGGAAGTTAAGCTCCCCCTCCCCCCTGGTCAGGTTTCTAAAGGGAGTGAGCTGAGTCTCTACCTCTCCAGCACATGCCCCTGGTGCTAGGCCAGAGCAGCCTGCCTTGAAGGGAGCAATATGTCCTGTGCAAGAGGGAGGGGATTCCAAAGACATGTTCCAGGTTTAGTGATAGCAGAATCTGACACCATGGTTCACTTGGTCTGAGCCCTCAGTCAGCAGGTGAGTGGCCCAGAGAGGTTAAGTAAACTACGCAACATCATGGAGCTGGTTAGAGAGGTGCTGCCTGACTCCAAAGCCTGTGTTTTCCCTTCCACCACCAACACTTGCATCTCTAGTACACAGCATAGGCCTGGACATGTGGTACAGGCTCCATTTGTTTGTATAGTTTTCCCTCCTCTATCCCCACGTTAGGGTATTTGACCCGATGGCACACAACAACAACAACAACAGGCTTTCTTTGCTTTACCATCCCCTTTCTGTGATTCAATCCCTCCCATTGGGGGTTTAGCAAGGCTCACAAATGACTCTGGGTCTCATTTCAGCTATGAGGGTTGTTCTCCATCTCCCAGCCCTCCTGGCTTCTCTGACCTTGCTCCAGACTGCAGTATCTGCCACAAGTGGTAAGTATCTCCTGTATTAGTTTCCTGTGGCTGCCCTAGCAAATTACCACAAACTGGAAAATAGAAATAAGTCCTCTCATGGTTCAGGAGGCCAAAATCAAGGTATCACCAGGGCCGTGCTCTCTCTCAAGGCTTTAGGGGAGAATCCTTCCTGACCTCTTCTAGCTTCTGGTGGCTCCAAGCAATCTTGGCCTTCCTTGGCTTGAAGCTGCATCACTCCAATCCTTGTCTGTGCCTTCAAATGGCCTACCTTTCTGGGGGAAACTGTGTGCCTGCTCCTCTTCTTATACAGACACCAGCCATTGGATTTACGGTCCACCTTAATCCAGTATGATCTCAACTAATAACATCTGCAAAGACCCTGTTTCCAGATAAAATCCCATTCTGAGGTTCTGGATGAACATGGGTTTTTGGAGGACACTACTCAACCCACTACATTCCCCCTGTTCAGAGCGTGCATCCTGCTCACCCCACTACTTCAGACCCCAATAAGAATGAAAACAGGAGTCCCACTTCTACCCTCACATCATCTCCTTGCCTACTTCAGAGTCCTGGTCATCAGCTAACTGATGCTAACCAGGAGCTAGCAAAATCCTCTCAGCCCAGTAGCTGAGCCAACCTGAGTGGTCCCACTCTTAGTCCCATCACTGGGTATTCTTAGTGGAATCCAGAAGATAAATTTTGAAAGCTTATCACTAGAGAGTGCTCTTCCCATTCTGGGCTTTTTTTCTTCTAGAGCATTGGAACTCTTGTGAAAGTTTCCCAATCCTGATCTTCTGCCTTCTCAGATGTGAGGGGTGGGAGTGATGGCTGAGAAGGAGGGAGGCAGAGGCACAGGGCATCTCAGAGTGTGGTGTATGACGTCTTCTCCCTGCTCTCTCACTCCAAGCACAGACCACCACTGCTGCTGACATCTCTGATGCTGTGAGTCAGGTCAAGGTCCAAGTCAACAAGGCCTTCCTGGATTCCCGAACTAGGTACGTGAAACACACACACATACCTCCTTCTCAGGCTTTCAGCTCACGACAAGCACTACTAAGCCAGCCCTGACAAGCTAGTGATCCAAAGCAATTATAAAACTTGCCCTTCCACACCACCTCAAGCATGTGGCCACCTCAAGTATGTGGCAAGCAAGAGCAACAACCCAATACTCCTGAAATCCTGTAGATTATCTTGAAAGGACAACTACTGTAATCCTATAAGAACTTTCTTCCACGTGGCTGACTGCTTCCTCAGCTTGTCCATTCCAGAATCTCAGAAAGCCTGTTGGTGGACGGTCTTTGTTATTTATGGAGTCAATAAAACCCACTGCTGCCCAGTTGCTTTTAGCTTATAGTGACACTACAGAACAGGGTAGAACTCCCCTTTAGGGTTTGCAAGGCTATAAATCCCTACGGAAGCAGATTGCCATAGCTTTCTCCTGTGGATCCACTGTTGGGTTCAAATACCAACCTTTCAGTTAGCAGCCAAGCACTAATCCTATGGAGCAGTTCTACCTTGTCCTATAGGATCACTATAAATTGGAATAAAATCAATGGCAATTTTTTTTTTTTTTTTTGCTTATCAAATGCCAGCTAAATTTGCTTCCTTCCTGGATAATGGGGAGGATGAAGAAGAGCCCTGGTGGCGCAGTGGTTTAGCATTCAGCTGTTAACTGAAGGGTGGGTGGTTTGGACTACTGGTCAATCGCTCCATGGAAGAAAGACCTGGCCATCTGCTCCTGTGAGGACCGCAGCCTGGGAAACCCTAGGGGGCGGTTCTACTCCATCCTATAGGATCACTATGAGTTCGAATCTACTCTACGGCTCCTAGTAAACAATCACAAGGAGCTCTGGTAGGGTAGTGCCAAAGGCATTTGACTGCTAATCAGAAGGCTGGCGGTTCAAACCCACCAGCCACTCCTGAGAAGGAAGATGGGGCAATCTGCTTCCGTAGTGATACTGCCTCAGAAACCCAAGGAGGGGTCACTATGAGTCCGGTCCAACTGGACGGCACATAACAACAACAACAAACAATCACAAGCCATCTTGGGAAAAAAAAAAAAAACCTCCAGCCAAGACTTCAGCCCACACTCTAAGCCCTCCGCTTCGGTGAATGGCCCTGTTAGGTTCTTCTCACTAAAATGAAAGCCAAGGGGAGACCTCCATGGTGGGGGCAGGGAGGCTCAACATTTCCGGAACTATCTACAGATGAAAATCTTCTCTTTCTCCTTCACTTCAATCTTCTCATAGCCCCAAAGTGGGACATAGTATCCAAGTCACAAAATCGGTGTTCATCCTCCACCTTTGCAAGTCCTGTGAGGTGAGGGAAGGACCCGAGCCCTGTTCTGGAGTGTGGGGGATACTTATGCCCACTGTCTAGTTCTTGGATTTAGCGGCCTCAGAAAGACAGAGTCACATTTAAATATCCTTTTACACAAGGACACACAAGGACAAGCAAATAATCTGGCCCCTCTAATAAGGACAATGGAGGAAATGGGCAGCAAAGGGGGCAAAACTAGGCAAGAGGTCAGGGAGCCTAGCGAGCGAGGAAAGGAGCCAGCTTTGGGGCGGGGCGGGGCCGAGGCCTTCCAGGTAAGGGAACTACTAGAGCAAAGGCCTGAGGCAAGAGAGAGCTGCGGTGCTGAGGAAACAAAGGAGGCGGGTGGTAGAGGGGTGGGCCCCAAGGGCTGAATTTGTCCCACAGCCCAGGGTAAGCCCTTGGAAGAGCTTTAAGCAGGGCAGTGCATGGTCTGATTTTCATTCTAAAAAGATCACCCCAGCCTCTGTGTGTAGAATGAATGGGAGGGAGACGGGAGAGGAGGCTAATGCGGTGATCCAGGTGGGGGCGGGGTGGGGGTGGGGATGGTGGCTTAGCCTGGGTGGAAGCATTGGGGATGGACGAAGAGTCCCCCAAAGGCCTGACGGCTCCAGCAGAGTCCATCCCTGATATAAAGCAGGGGGTAAGTCCCTGGTGAGTCAGTGTTCAGGCGGGAACCCCGAGAGCCCAGGCCACACCCGGAGAGGGAGAAAACCTGGAACCCCCTGAGGGGATCTTGCAGGTGGCGCCCTGGGGAAGCCCGGTAACCCGCCTTGCGCTGTCCAGGGTGTGGGAGGCCTTGCTCTAAACTGTCCTGCACCGCTCTTGCCGCTGATGATCCGTGTGTTTGCTCTGTGCCAGGGACAGCCCTAGCGAAGCCAGCCTAACTCACTGCGTTATACTCATTCCTCCCCACAATGCTGTGTGCCTTCCTTTCCTCGTGCCGCCCAGCGGAGACACTGGCAGAAATTTATGTTCTCACAGTTTAGGAGGCTATAAGTAGAAATCCAGGGCACCAGTCGTGGGGAGGGCTCTCCTTCTATCGGCTGGGGTCAAAGAGAGAGCCAGGTCTCCTCCTGTAGCCCCGCATTCCTCGGCTCTTTCACGAGGCATCTATCTCCCTTCCCAGCCCTTTTGGCCTCTTTTCTGTGTCTAATCCCCTTTTTACATCTCAGAAGTGAACAGGTGTAGGACACATCTTACACTAATATGGTCTCACTGTGTTGTTGTTGTTGTTATGTGCCGTCGAGTCGGCCCCGACTCATAGCGACCCCTCCTTGGGTTTCCGAGGCAGTATCACTACGGAAGTAGGATTGCCCAACCTTCCTTCCGAGGAGTGGCTGGTGGGGGTGAACCGCCAGCCCTCTGGTTAGCAGTCAAGTGCCTTAGCCACTATGCTACCAGAGCTCCCAAACCACGTTTTAGGAGGGCACAATTCAATCCATAAACAAGTGTCGGATCAGCTTTTTTTTTTTTTTTTTAGGTAAAAAAAATGATCAAATACCATGGTTCAACCTAATATTAGTATCATTATCCTCGTTTTATGGATAAAGAAACTGAGGTATAGAGAGGTTGAGTAACTTGCCCAAAGTGGCACTTAGGAGTCAAACCCAGCCAGTCTGTTCCAAAGTTCACACGCTGAGTCTCTGGTATAAGTAGCGTGTTGATTTCCAATTCACAGATGAGAGGCAGGTTACCCCGAGGTCGAATATTTAAGCCAATCCTGGCAGGACCAGAATTCAAAACTGCGTGTTTGGCTCTAGGCCAGAACTCGAGGCCATGCCGTCCAGCAGAACTTCCTGTGATGGAAACGTTCCGTGTCTGCACCATCCAGTACAGTCGCAGTTCACTACATGTGGCACTTGAAATGAGGCAGTGCAACTGATGAAATGAATTTTCTATTTGACTTAATTTTAACGAAGTTCAATGAAATATTCACATATGGTTAGTGGTTACCTACTGGACAGTGAAAGAGTCTAGGCCACTGGGCTATGCTGTCTTCTTGCGAAAGCAGCAAAAATGCAAAATGGCTTGTTCTCTTGGGTTCTTTTTTACCCAGGAGGGAAGAATAAGAGGTGGTGGGCCTGTGATTAGAACCCAACCCTCAGAGTGCTCCTTGTGCCAGCCCTAATCACCATGTAGTCCCTGAGGCCAAGATACCTTGCCCTCTAACACTTCTATGTAGAGTTAATAGCTCAACCTGGGTGACTTCCAATATTTCAAAGTCTTCCTGGCATAGCACACCTCAGAGATCATCTCATAAACCAAACCTATTGCTGTCGAGTCAATCCCAACTCATGGCAACCTCTTGTGTTACAGAGAAGAACTGCTTCATAGGATTTTCTTGGATGTAATCTTTATGGAAGCAGATCACCAGGCCTTTCTTCTGTGGTGCTGCCTGGTGGGTTCAAACTGCCAACCTTTATGGCAGCTGTCAAGTTCAAATAGTTTGTGGTACCTACCAAAAATCAAACTCATTGCTGTTGAATTGATTCTGACTCACAGCAACCCCCTAGAACAGAGTAGAACTGCCCCTAGGGTTTCCAAGGCTGTAATGTTTATGGAAGCAGACTGCCACATCCTCTTCCCACAGAGTGGCTTCAAACCACCGACCCTTCTGTTAACAGCCAAGTGGTGAACTACTGTGTCAAACCCCCTTTTCTCACACATGATGAAACTGAGGTATGGTGAGCGGGTAGAAAGTTCGCATGGAGGGATTTTTCCAACTACACCTTGCCCTCGGTCATCTCTGTGTTGTCACAAACTTCTTAATAGAGGATTTTGGCTTCTCATTTTACTTGTGGGAATTAGGGAATAAATAGGCTAGACATCATGTCCAAGGTTGGGTCAGCAATAGGCAGGATGCATGGCCCAGCACCAATCTGTGCTACATCTAAACAAAGTCCACGCTGACTCTAGGCCCAGAAGCAAGTTAAAGAAAAAAAAAAAAAAAACCTCACTGCCATCGAGTTGGTTCTGATTCGTAGTGACTGCTTTTGGGTTTCAGAGGTGGTAAATCTCTACAGAAGGAGATTGCCCAGTCTTCCTTCTGCAGAGTGGCTGGTGGGTTTGAACCACTTGCCGTCTGGTTAGTAGTCAAATGCCTTAGGCACTCCACTCCAGAGCTCCTTCAGAAGCAGTTAAGGGGGGTTTTATGGTCAGAAGTTTCTTAAGCATCTTATTCCTCTAATTACAAGGCCATAAGACTTGAGGAGATGCCAGCTCATGTCAGGGCTCCCCAAGTGTGACTCAGTAAATCCCGGAAACTGTGTGTTCTTAAAATGGCCCCGGTTGATTCTGACATAGCCAGCCCAACTGCAACTCTGTGATTCAGCTCTAGTCTGTCATGTCCATCCACCTGCCTTCCCTCGGGACCTACTAACAAGCTTAAGGACATACTGCTGCTTCCTCTTCCGGGAAGACACCTTCCAGAAGCATTACACAGAATGAAGAAAAGGTCCACAAGCACAAGAAGTGCATGTCTCCTACATGTTGCCCACACTCTGCCATGGTGCCTCCTATATGGACACTACCTCATCCTTCTATGGGATCGGAGCCTGGGACCCCCTCATGACTTCTCCATTGCTCTCCATTGCAGGCTGAAGATCTCTATGAGCTCACAGTCTCCCACCACCCGACAGCTCATGGAATATCTCAAGCATGCCAAAGGCCAGACACGCACGGCCATCCACAAAGGGCAGGTGTGGGAGGAGTCCTTAAAGAGAGTGACACAGAAGTCAACCTTGACCAATGTCACAGGTACAGAAAACTCACTAGTCCTCTGATAGCAGGAAGGGGTCATCTCCCAGCAGGAGAAGGCAAAAAAAAAAACATTGCTGTTGAGTTGATTCCATCTCATGGTAACTCCACATAACAGAGTAGAACTGCTCCATAGAGCTTTCCTGGTGGTGGAGTGTCTAAGGCACTTGACTGCTAACCGGAAGGCTGGCGGTTCAAACCCACCAGCCACTCCTTGGAAGGAAGGTTGGGCAATCTACTTCCCTAGTGATAATGCCTCAGAAACCCAAGAAGGGGTCGCTATGGGTGGGATCCTTCTCCATGGCAGTGAGTTTGGTTTGGTTTTTGGTTTCATCTTTATGGAAGCAGATTGCCAGGTCTTTCTTCTGTGGCACCACTGGGTGGGTTCAAACCTCCAAACTTTAGGTTAGGAGACAAGTGCAAATCATTTGCGCCACCCAGGAACCTTGCAGGAGAGAGCAGAGACTGCGAAGAGCTTCATTCCGTCTCTCCCCTTTAGGATCATAGATGGGCAGAGTGAGGAGCAGCTTTGAGGACATCTAGTCCAACGTTCTTTCTGCAGAGGCAGGAACTCAGACCCAGCAAGGTCACCTTGCAAAGTCTTAATGAGGGGACATGAGTGACCTTTGGATAATACCATCTGTAAAACCTCTGTGCAGAGGAAGCGCTAAAGTCAATAAACATGGGAAACCACAGGGTCACCAGTTCCGCCTGAGGGGGTGGACATTTAAGCCACCTGTGTCAGGGGGATTTACTAGGATTATGTCACAGGAGATGAGCTTTCCAACCTGTTCTGGGTAACCTGGGCCTGAAACAATGTAAGGCCATCCTTGATTTCAATTTCCTACTCCCTCTGCAGAATGGAGAAATAACTTAGCCCTTTTGGGGTTCCTTCTGTTTCAGACCCCAGCCTAGACTTGGCTTTCCTCTCTCATGAAGTGGGCTGCGGTGTCCCTGCCCCTGTGGTGAAATGCGACATGAACAGCCCTTATCGCACCATTACAGGAGACTGTAACAACAGGTGACTGGGTAGGAGTGGGGGTGGGGGCGGGACAGACCCTCTCAGAACCACCAGGACCACCCTACCTGCCCAGCCCACCTGTCTAACCTAGACTAGCCCAGCCCACCTGCCCAGCCGAGCCAGGCACTTTGCCATTTGGGCATTCCAGACCCAACCCCCACTCCTACTCCCCTGGATTTGCGACTGGGAGGAATCTTTTCCGAGGAAACCCTCCCCCAACTTCCCCACCTTCTAAAGATTATAGTCTCCAGCCTTCTCCCAGGAGCCCACTGAATCGCACTGGTGCCAGCAGCTTTCCCAAGTGAGTGGGGGTAATTTAGACACTCCACCCATGAGAGGGCACCTCCTCCTTGTCCCCTTTCCCTAGGACAGAGGTTCCTAGGTCCTTCCCGGGTCAGTCGGGGCTCCGCGAAGAAGCAAACCCCGGCGGGACGGCCGAGGCTGAGGGCGGGTCTTGGTTTCAGGAGGAACCCCACACTGGGAGCCGCCAACAGGGCGCTGGCGCGCTGGCTTCCCGCTGAGTACGAGGACGGGCTCTCTCTCCCCTTTGGGTGGACGCCGGGAAAGACGCGGAACGGCTTCCGTCTCCCGCTGGTGAGGGCGAGATGGGGGTGGGCCCCGAGAATAGGGGATGAAGGGTGCAGGGGAGGGAATGCACTCCCCAAACACAGATGGAAGGGGAGTAGAAATAGGTGACAGGGTCGGAGGCTGGCCTTGGAGCCGCATCCGGAGAGAGCTGGAGATTTGGACCTGCTCTTTGGCTCTGTTCTCCAAAATGCCACTAGAGGGCAGCAGAGCCCGACGTCCAGCCAAGTGGTGGTCGCATCCCAGCTGCCCGCAAGCCAGATACCCTGAGGTCCTCCAGCCAGATGGCCTCCTAACCCCAGCCTGCTCGCCCTTGCCCTGCCCCAGCACCCGGAGTGCATCAGCTGTTGTTTGCCTGGAGGTCCTATCTGTTGGTTTCATCTGAGCTGGCAGACCCTACCCAGAACCCCTCTCCTACCCCTGGACACCTAGCACCTCCTTGGCACTTGTTTCCAAGGCAGCCTGTCTTTGCTCTCCCTCTTCATAGTGAGGAAAGCTCCGGCCTTAGAAGCCATACAGACCTGGTTTCAATCCTACCTCTGTCCCTTCATAGCTACAGGGCCTGGGAGAACTGACTTCACCTCTCTGACTCGTTCTCTTTATAAAATGGAAGCAATGCCACCCACCCTACAGTGTTGTCATGGGGATTAAATATACCTGTTACATCACAAATACTCGACAAACTGTAGTTGAATCTGAATCCTCAAATCACCTTTTTCTCCAATCCTTCTCTTCTCTGTCCATCTCTAGGCCCGTGAGGTATCCAACCAGATTATCAGCTACCTGAATGAGGATGTTCTGGACCAAAACACGTCCCTGCTTTTCATGCAGTGGGGTCAACTTGTGGACCACGACCTGGACTTTGCCCCTGACACTGAGCTGGGGAGTAGTGAGTACTCCAAAGCCCTGTGTGAAGAACACTGTATCCAGAGAGACAACTGTTTCCCCATCTTGGTAGGTCCCTTCAGCTAGATGATTACCCTGGACAAGCCCATGGCCCACCCTGATGTAGTAGACATGCCCCATCAGGATCTCTTGGTAGATCTTGAATGCTGATTTGATAGCTTCCCAAGCCTAGCACGTCCATTCATTCACTTATCCATTTATGCACTAAATAGACATTGCTCAAGCACTAAGTACCAGCACGACAGCACATAACAACAACAAGCACCAGGAACTCAAAGGTGAATAAGATGCTGTTCCTGTCCGAGGACCAAGGGCCAATGTGAGAAGGGAACAAGTACACCACTAATGACAAAATCAGGACGCTCTGGGGAGGGTTGTCTAAGTCCCCAGCTCAGCAGTGTCTGCATCACCTGGGGACTTATTAGACATGCAAAATTGCAAGCCCCATCCAGACATTCGGAAACAGAATCCAATACTACCAAATCACCAGGGGATTTGGTGCACAAACAAGAAAGTTTATGGAAAGACACTAAATCATTCTGGGCTCAGAGCCTATTCTCAGAAGGAGCTGACACTTGATGGACAAGTCAGAATGAGCCAGCAGGAATTTGTGGGAATTTCCAGCAGGAGGGGAGAGGACTTTGCAGTGGTGCACCTTTTCTTATTATTTGTGGATTTTACAGTTAGAAAGTCATTTATTCATTCAAACAAGTCAAGGCTATGTGCTATGGTAGAAAAAACATGGGCTGCAGAGTGAGTCGATCTGCATCTGAATCCTACCTACATCTTTCCTTTCTAGTTTGTAAGTCCTTGGGCAAGTTACTCAACCTTTCTGGGCCTCAGTTTTCTCACCTGTAGGATGGGATTGACTTTTCTACCTTGCAGGGTTTTGTGAGGACCTACGTGAGATAAAGTTTACATAATGCTTGACCTAGTAGGTTCAAAAAAAATAAATGGTAGCTATTATTAGTAGTAGACCTCTGGTGGTGTAGTGGATAAGGCATTTGGCTGCTAACCAGAAGGTCAGTGGTTCAAACCCACCAGCCGCTCAGAGGAAGGAAGATAGGGCAATCTACTTCAGTAAAGATTTACAGTCTCAAAACCCAATGGGGATCTCTATTAGTCAGAATCGACTTGATGTCAGTGAGTTTGGTCTTTTTTAGTTATTGGGAGTAATTATTAACAAACCTTTTCTCATCTGATGTCCAGCTTCCCTATCCAGGGATCTCAAGCTCCATTCCATCAGAAATCTGGAGCCCAAGCTGTGAAAGACTAAATGATGCCCCTCATAGTGAGCTATAATGAACTTTAGGGTTTGTGGGCACAGGATGTGTGGTGTTAGTAGGAGGTGTCTGGGGTCAGTGTTAAGTACCAGGGTCCCAGGAGGGTACCATCAGCATCTTTGCCAACTGCATCCAGATTCAGCTGGAGAGAGAGAGGTTCCCAGGGCCCAGGTGCCATCCCTGCCCAGTCACCACCCCCAATCTCTGCAGTTCCCACCCAAAGACCCCAAGGTGAAGACTCAAGGGAAGTGCATGCCATTCTTCCGAGCCGGGTTCGTCTGCCCCACTTCACCCTACAAGTCCCTGACCCGAGAGCAGATCAATGCTCCCACCTCCTTCCTGGATGCCAGCTTTGTGTACGGGTCGGAGGCGAGTCTGGCCAGACGCCTACTCAACCTCAGCAGCCCCCTGGGCCTCCTGGCCGTCAACCAGGAGTTCTCGGACCATGGGCTGCCCTACCTGCCTTTCGACAACAAGAAGCCAAGCCCCTGCGAATTCATCAACACCACGGCCCGAGTGCCCTGCTTCCTGGCGGGTGAGTCTATGTTGGGAAAGGAGGGACCCACAGATAAGGGCATTTCCCTGGGGACTGAGGGACACCCAAAACTTCACAAGGCCTCCAGGCAACTTCCAGGGAGTCCTTGCTACTCTTCCGTCTCATGATCTTTCTGGAAAAATGCACACCAGGCCACCACTCCCCCTGACACTGATCCAGGGCTGATAGAAGGACCCAGATGAATAGAGAATTTAAGGAGAATGTGTTCACTGTAAAAAAAGAAAGAGAGTCAAGAAAGCACTAAAAAATATGTATAAAATAAAAACTACACACAATTCTAACACCCAAAGAAATTAGCATTGTAATGTACATTTGTCTTAGTTTTTCTAGTGCTTCTGTAACATAAATATCACAAGTGGGTGGCTTAACAAACAAATTTATTTTCTCACAATTCAGGAAGCTAGAAGTCCAAACTCTGGACGCTGACTCTGTTATTGTTATGTGCTGTCGAGTTGGACCCGACTCATAGCGACCCCTCCTTGGGTTTCCGAGGCTGTATCACTACGGAAGTAGGATTGCCCAACCTTCCTTCCAAGGAGTGGCTGGTGGGTTTGAACTGCCAGCCTTCTGGCAGGAGGCTTTCTCTCTCTGTCAGCTCCAGGAGAAGGTTGTTACCTCTTTTCAGCTTCTGTTCCGTGGTTCCTTGACGTTCTTCATGTGGGCTCGGTATCTAGCTTCTTCAGTCCCTCCTTGCTTGTCTGTGCCTAACCTACTTTCATATCTCAAAGATGACAGGCTTAAAACACCCTACACTGACATGGCCTCGTTAACATAACAAAGAAAATGCTGTTCCCAAATGGGATCATAACCACACGTATCAACCCCAAACAAACCCAATGCCATCAAGTCAGTTCCGACTTTATAGTGACCCTGTAGGACAGAGTAGAACTGTCCCATAGTGTTTCCAAGGCTGTAAATCTTTATAGAAGCTGATTGCCTCATCTTTCTCCCATGGAACAGCTGGTGGGTTTGAACCCCCCACCTTTGCTTTAACCCTTGCTCCACTGGAGCTCCTAACCTCAGGTATAGTGGTTAGGATTTACAGCACATATGCTAGGGAGACGTAATTCAATCCATAACAATATCCTTCCAGTATTTTTTCTATCATAAATAGAATTCTACATTTCTTACATAATTGAAATAATACTATGGATAATGCTGTATATAACATGATTCTTCTTCTTGTACAACATGATTTTTCAGCCCTATTGGGGGTCATGTTGGTTATTTCTAAGAAGCCCTGATGGTGCAGTGGTTAAGCACTCGGCTGCTAACCAAAATCTAGGCAGTTCAAACCCCAGCTGCACCTTGGGAGAAAGATATGGCAGTCTGCTTCCATAAATATTATGTTGTTATGTGCCGTCGAGTTGGACCTGACTCATAGCGACCCCTCCTTGGGTTTCCGAGGCAATATCACTATGGAAGTAGATTGCCCCATCTTCCTTCTGAGGAGTGGCTGGTGGGTTTGAACTGCCAGCCTTCTGGTTAGCAGTCAAGTGCCTTAGGCACTATGCTACCAGAGCTCCCGTCCTTATATTATAGCCTTGGAAAATCTATGAGGCGGTTCTACTTTGTCCTATAGGGTCACGATGAGTCAGAAGTGACTTGACAGCACATAACAACAAAAGGCTATTTCTAATTGTTCTAGGTTTTTTTTTGTTTTGTTTTTTTAGGTAATGAACATCATTGTTCATAAATCTTTGTGCACATTTTTATGAAATTAATATAATTTCCTAGAGGAGGAATTTCTATATTAAGAAGAGTATATATTTTTAAGGCTTTTTATAACTTGTTACAAAGCCCCCGCTCCATATGGTGGACCACCAGAGCCCCCTCAAGTCTATTTATTTATGGGGCTCATGGCCTCTCTGATCTTGGCTTCTAGAAAAAACTCCTAGCCACCCAGACGTTGCAAAAGACTGGCCCATAGGCCGGGATCTCTCAGACTCTGTGTCCACACATGCCTCACACCAATCCAGACACAAACCTGAGTCCTTACCCATCTTCCCCAAAAATAACCACTAAGCCCAAGCATTTGTGAAGTTAACAGACTTTCCTAACGATTAGAGGAACAGGGAGAAGTTGTCTTGTGAAACACATGGTCTCCCCCCATTTCAGCGGCCCCCTCTCCATTCTTGCTGTCTCCTCCTCCCTCCCAGATACTCTCCCAGCTCCAGATTCTTCTCTCTTTTTTCCACAGAGAAGTTAAGCCTTGCCCAGGAGCCCACCCTCAAACCTGCATCCCCAAAATCTTCAAAATTGCTCAACAAAATAAAAAGCACTTTATTTGTGAAAGGGGCCTTGGTGGCACAATGGTTAAGTGTTAAGCTACTAACATAAAGGTTGTCAGTTCGAACCCACTAACCTAGGACACTCAGTGGGGCAGTTCTACTCTGTCCTACAGGATTGCTATGAGTTAGAATTATCTCAGTGGCACACAATAACAACAATACTTGTTTGTACCATTCTTCTTAGAAGGCAGTTGGGACTATAGTTAGTAAAATTTTATTTCTTTTAATATGTCACTTTTACTACAGCCCTGCGAGATAGGCCTTGTTATCCTTGTTTTCACAGATAAGCCCACTCTAAGGCTCAGAAATGTTAAGATGTTAAAAAAACTTGCCCAAGGTCACACAGCTAAAAAGTGGTAGAACCCCATCTCACTTTCCACAGGACTTCCCTTAAATTAAGGCGCTCTGGTGATGCAGTGGTTAAGGCATTTGGCAGCTAACCAAAAGGTTGGTGGTTCAAATCCAATAGCTGCTCTGGGGAAGAAAGATGAGACAGTCTGCTTTAAAGATTTACAGCCTTAGAAACCCAGCGGGGATCACTATGAGTCAGAACTGACTCAATCTCAGTGGCTTTGGGGTTTTTGTTTGTTTCCCTTAAATTAACTGGAAGGAGACACTTGGGAGAGCGTCCCTTAGGGTGCCATCATGCCCTCTAATTGATTCCGACTCATAGCTGCCCTATAGGCAGGCTACTCAGGGAGAATCCACCTTCCTGACTTCCGGGCTTCTAGGAGATTCCCGAGCCTCAGAGCAGATCCTGCTGGCTGCTTCCCACACCCTCTTCCTCCGAGAGCACAACCGGCTGGCCAGAGAACTAAAGAGACTCAACCCTCATTGGGACGGAGAGACGCTCTACCAGGAAACCCGGAAAATCCTGGGAGCCTTCGTGCAGGTGAGGAAGGACAGGAGCCCCGCCTCACATGCCACCCTCCGTTTCCCATGTCTTCGTTTCTCCCCTCCACCCCTCTGCTGCTTCCTTGCCATCGTCTCATTCTTTTAATCCATCCATCCTTTCCTTTCTTCAACTTTTCTGTCCCCAGGTGAACCCCTGGATTCAGAGCATCAGCGAGGCATTAATGGGGTAGTCATTTGAGTGTACCTCTCCTGGTCCTGTCACTGGGACGGTGGCTCCATCATTCCTGGGACTGTCACAAAGCACTTGTTTTGATTTGATTCTCTCCCTTTATAATTCTCTACACCTTAACCACTTGACATGGACTTACTCAACTGATGTTGTTGATTGGCTGATCAACTGACTAGAAGAGACTTGGAAAGGTTGATATGTTCATATTAACAATGCACATGTGTAAAAAGCATTATACTTTGAAATTATTATAAATTCACCAGCAGTTGCATACACACACAGACACAAACATGCAGAGTTTCTATCACCCTTCACCCAACCTCCCCCAATGCTAACATCTTGTATAACTATAGTACAATATCAAAACCAGGAAATTTACCATAGAACTTATCCAGATTTCACCAGTTATAAAAGTAATCATTTGTGTATGTGTGTGTGTGTGTGTGTGTGCATGTAGTTCTATGCAATTTCATGCAGTCCCCACCACAATAAAGGTAGTTAACTGCACCATCACCACAGGACTCCCTCATGCTAACCTTTTAAATCATGTCTGCCAGCACCCCTCATCCCTAATCCCTGGCAACCACTAACCTGTTCTCCAACTCTAAAACCAAAAACCAAACCCACTACCTTCGTGTTGATTCCAGCTCATGGCGACTCCATGTGTTACGAGTGGACTGCTCCATCTCTACAGTTCTATTATTTTGTGAGTGTTAGATAAATAGACACATGCAGTATGTATCCTTTTGAAATAGTTATTATTATTATTCAGCATAATTTCCTTGAGGTTCATTCATGCTGTTGCATGTATCAAGAGTTCATTTCTTTTTTTGTTGATATGGATGTACTACAGTTTGCTTAACTAGGTAGTCTCCAGGTTTTGGCTATTATGAATGAAGCTGCTATAACATTTGTGTGCACATTTCTGCATGAAAATAAATTTTTATTTCTCTGGGAGATATGCTCAAGAGTGTAATTGCTCGGCCATATAGTAGGTCCATTTTTAGTTTTAAAGGAACTGCCAAGTGGCTTTCCAGACTGGCTGTACCACTTTACATCCCCCCAAGCAATGTTTGAATGATTTGATTTCTCAGCATCCTCATCAATTTTTGGTGTTACCACTATTTTTATTTTAGCTATTCTGGTATGTGTGCAGTGATATATCGTTGTGATATTAATCAGAATTCCTCTAGTGGCTAATAATGATTTGCATCCTTTCATGTGCTTATTTGCCATCTGTGTATCTTCCAGTGAAATATCTGTTCATATCTTTTGCCCATTTTCAAATAGTTCTCTTTTAAATATTGAGTGGTGACAGTTCTTTATATAGTCTAGACAAAAGTCCTTTGTCAAATACTTGATTTGAAAATATTTTCTCCCACTCTATATTTTGTCATTTCATTCTATTCTGCCTTTTGCAGAATAAGAGTCTTTAATGTTGATGTAGTCCAATTTATTAGTATTTTCTTTCATAGATTATGCTTTTGGTGCCAAGTCTCAGAACTCTTTGCTTAGCCCTAGATCCTGAGTATTTTTTCCTAGAAGTTTGATAATTGTATGTTTTCTATTTAGAGTTAATCTTTGTATAAAGTGTGGGGTTTAGATCTAGGTTCTTTTTATTTTTTTGCTTATGGATTTCCAATTGCTTCAGTACCAGTTATGGAAAAGGCTAACTTCCTCCATTGAATTGCTTTTGTTTCTTTGTCAAAAATTAATTGGGTATACTTGTGTGGATCTATCTTGAGGTTGCTTATTCTATTTCATTAACCTATGTGTGTATTCTTCCAAGAGTACCATACTGTTTGATTATCTGTTAAATTAAAGTGACACACAAGGACTGTGAGTTTAGCATTAAGGTCAGAAACTTAGAGCAAAGATGGCAAAGAGAGTGCATCCCAGATGCTAAATCCAGATGACACCTATACCGAGACAGATCATGAGAGATCAGCAGAAAGAATGTCGTGATCAATTAGCAATGTCTGCCACAGTTGTAGGAAGGGGAACTGGGCATATATGCTATCTACTTACCATCCTTGATTTTTGATTTGTCATCTCTCTTGACCACAGCTCCTTGCCAGCCTCCCTCTGCAGAGACTTCTCATGCCCTTTCCCCCTGGCTTGTTCCTCCCTCCAGATTATCACCTTTAGGGACTATCTGCCTATTGTGCTGGGTGACGAGAAGCAGAAGCAGATCCCTCCATACCAAGGATATGATGAGTCTGTGGATCCTCGGATTTCCAACGTCTTCACCTTTGCCTTTCGCTTTGGCCACTTAGAGATCCCCTCCACGATGTCCCGCCTGGATGAGAACTATCAGCAGGAGCCAGAGCTCCCCCTGCATACCCTTTTCTTCAACACCTGGAGGATAGTCAAAGATGGTATGTGGGATCAAGAAAGTGCTGTCACCTGGCTCTCCCACTCTCCTGCCTGTTTCTTGGGAAACCTGGCTTGGAACTCAGACTCCAAGCATTTCCTGTGTGACCCTAGGCTGGTGAATTCACTTCCCCAAGCCTCAGCTTTCTCATTTGTAAAATGGAGACAATAGTAGTACCTATCTCGCTAGGATATCCAAAATAATTAGATGTGATACATGTGCAGAGCACCTGCAAGTGTTTCTGACAAACAGAAAGTGGTCAGTAAATCTGACAAGTCAGGGCCATTTCGTAAAGATTTATGCTACCCCTTCCCCATGTGGCTGTCTTCCTCAGGGGAACGTGTGGAAGGAGGAGGAGCTGACTCCATGAACTATACCGTGGAAAAAATCCTGAAGTTTATATTCATGACATAGTCCCATGAATGCCCCTTCCAGAGAGCTGGGCTGGCCTCTCCCCAGATCTCCCCTGTGGGCTTTAACGCACTCTCCTCTTCCCCTTCCAGTCTGCCGTGTTCAGCTGGCTCTGTTTTCACCTGAGAGACACTGTCTGGTGGAGGAAGGGGCCAACAGTGGAAGATGTCCTCACCTTCAGGATGGTCTTTGGGTCTCTCTTGCAGGTGGAATTGACCCTCTGGTGCGAGGCCTGCTGGCCAAGAAGTCCAAGTTGATGGACCAGAATAAAATGATGACAGGAGAGCTACGCAACAAGTTGTTCCAACCACCTCACAACATTTATGGTCATGACTTGGCCGCCATCAACATACACCGGGGCCGGGACCATGGGCTGCCTGGTGAGTGGCCTGGGACTAACCCGGCTCTCAGGAGCTGTTAGCTGCTTTGGGGGCTCCTGGGGACTCTTCTGCTTGAGCTCTGGTAAGTTCTAAGACGGAGGGCAGATAGACCATTTTTTAAAACTCACTCTGCTTATCTGTGAAATGGAATCTCCCAGTCTCCCTAATGTAGAGACAAGAGAACATACCTGGTACTATCTTGGAATGTGCAGATGAAAAAGCAACCAACAACTGGCTTGCAAAACCAGTTTAAAAGCCCAAAAGAGATTAAGAAAAGGAGAATAGAAAGAAACAAATGACTATTGGGTCTTTCTTTTGTGCCCATGAAAGGCAATTTAATGTAGTAATTGGGCTAGACTGCCTGAGTTCAAAGCCCAGCCATGCCACCTACTAGTTATATAACCCTGGAAGTTACTTAACATTTGTTTTTCAGTTTACAGTATTTGTACTGTGCTTGGAATTATGACTGGGCCCATAATAAGCCCCACATAATCTAGCCTTCTATAGACTTACTTGCCAAAGGTGTAAAGAGTGGACCAGTGCCTCCCTCATCTCAAAAGGCTGGGAGCCTAGACCTTCTGGGGCTGATGAAGATGGAGTGGGGTTATGTCTCCAACAGGGGATGTGGGCAGGAAGCCCTTGTGATGACACAGCCTTGGCCTCTCCACCCTAGGGTACAACTCCTGGAGAGAGTTCTGTGGCCTTGCCCAGCCCAAGACACTGGAGGAGCTGGACACTGTGCTGAAGAACAAGATGCTGGCTAAGAAGTTGCTAGATCTTTATGGGACCCCGGACAACATCGACATCTGGATGGGGGCCATTGCTGAGCCCATGGTAGAGGGAGGCCGAGTGGGGCCTCTCCTGGCCTGCCTCTTGGGGAAACAGTTCCAGCAGATCCGTGATGGAGACAGGTACATGCAACCTTGCCAGGGAGGGCCGAGTGATACATTCTCTAAATTGGGTGTCCCAATTTCATCCTGCATAAAAGCTGACTCCAGACCTTATCATGGGTGGGCTTTCTCCTATCCCCCAAGACCTCCTTCCTCACTGGCCTCATCATTCCCTTGGTGAGGCTTACCCATCTGTCCTCCCAAGATTGGGAAGAAGGAGATCTCTAGCTGGTTGGCAATCACCAGGGTAAAACCCAGGCTACCTTCCACAGAATCAATACCAAGGCACCCTCCGAGGTGCTCAGAGAAACACTCCATCCCTCTGGCAGGCCAGGGAGGAGCCAGCTCTGGGCCATTTGGAAAGACTCTGCTCTGTCTGCAGGTTCTGGTGGGAGAACCCTGGGGTCTTCACCAAGAAGCAGCAGGATGCTCTGCAGAAAGTGTCCTTCTCACGCCTTGTCTGTGACAACACCCATATCACCAAGGTCCCCCTGGACCCATTCCAGGCCAACAGCTATCCCCAAGACTTTGTGGACTGCTCAGCAGTTGATAAGCTGGACCTCTCACCCTGGGCCTCAGTGGAAAACTAGGGCCTGGATCCTATAGCCTCTCACATGGTACAGCAAAGCCCCTCTGGTTCATGATGCCATTTTATGCAAGTTCAATGACTTGGTCTCTTAGAGCTCCACATTCTAAGGAAGGTGCCAGCCCTTCTTTTCAGCTGAGGTTCACTACCATGCCAGTTGCAGCTGCCTCATCTGCTTGGCTCCCACTGTTCCCACCCCATCTTTCCTATGAAAATCTTCCTTTCTGCAAACACTTAGACCCTCCGAGATGCCTTTCAAGTCCAGTCAGATGTGGCCCCTTTTGTCCCCTGAGCCAGCCTTGGCTGAGGCTATGGCTTCTGCCCCCAGTCCTCTCAAACTACACTGTAAGCTACTTGAGGTGGGGACTTCTGCCTGCTTCTGAGTGTCCCCCAGAGCCCACAGCATGGTTCTCAGCCCACAGTAAATGCTCAATAAACATTTGCTGATTGACTAAAGGTGCTGGCAATGACATTGTTCCCTTCTGAAGCCAGGCTTGGAATCACCATCAAATAAGTAACTAGATGTTTACAGTCCAGGTGTGCCTTACTGCTAAGATGTATGTGTGGGATCTATGGGTGGAAAGGCATGGTTTGGTGGGATTTCAAAGAGCTCTGAAGAAGGGGATGAGGCAAGGGGATCCTAGGGAAAGAGACAGTGGCCTTAGAGAAGCATGAGAGGGGCCTTGGGTGGGATTGCAGGTGGTGGTGTCAAGAGATAAAAACAAGAAGGAAACTTAGCCTGGATTCCATTGAAGCCAAAATTAATTTCCCTTCTTGCAGCCCTTCTGGGAAATACCCTCTTTTTCTAGGGCATTCTTTGGCGACTACAAGGCCTCTGAAAATTCACTGCCATCGAGTTGGATCCAACTCATAGCAATCCCTCCTTGGTTTTCCGAGGCAGTATCTCTACAGAAGCAGATTGCCCCATGTTCCTTCTGAGGAGTGGCTAGTGGGTTTGAACCACCAGCCTTCTGGTTAGCAGTCAAGTGCTTTAGGCACTACTCCACCAGAGCTCCAGAATATTTCTTTTGCTGATGTCCAATACGTATTCATGTGTTCTGCTTTTAAAATGACCCTCTGGGTAAGCTCAGGCAGGCTCAGGCCGAGGCCTCCAGATCCCCAGACTAGTGGGGTGGAGGTGAGAGACGCTTATCTTGTGGGAAGAGTCTAGGAGCCAGCAGACCTGGTCTGTGGCCCTGACTCCAGCACCCACTTCTTCATGGTCTCAGATGAGTCCCTTAATCTCTCTGAGCACCTCCCTCCTCTTCAATGAAATGAGGGTGGATAATGTTTATCCTGCTTTTCAACATGGGGAGATCCTAATGTTACTTAGGGCCCTGTGGGTACACTACTCCCCATCATCCTGCACACCTTTAGGCTACCAGCAGCAGGTATCCTCTCCTTATATGTGGGGAAAAGGGAGGGAAGGTGGGGAGGAGGGGTCTACCAGTCAGGCAAAGGGGTCAGGCTCAAGCTCTAGGCAAGACTATTAGAAAAATACCCTCTTGCCCTCCCTGAGCACTGGCCTTGTCCTTCCCCTCGGCCTACTTGTCTCTGTCTCTGCTCTGGGGACCTGGCCACTTCACTCTGGAGGCAGAGTGAACAGGAGTCTACTGTCTTGAAGGCTCTGAGCCACTGTGCCAGGCTGCAGGGAATCAGGATCCAGAGGTGCCCTTCATCTCGCCGCACCTCTGCTTTCTCTCCCACTGGACTGTGAGCATCTTGAAGGCAGAACAGTGTCTGGTCCTCCTGGTTTCCCAGCATGGGGCACAGGGCCTATCATGAAGTGAGCAAGTAGCGAATGTTTGCCAGAGCAATGAACGAACATAGGGGCTTAGTGACCACAGTTGCTGTTCTTCAGGGTGGGTTCGGGGTGAGGCTGGGGGATCTGCTCACTTTACCTGGTCTCTAGGCTTCTAGAAACCAACCGTCCTTGACCTATGGAACAGCCAAAGGAGGGAGGGCTCCCCGGTGCACGGCGAGGCACAGACCACGCTGGCTCAAGGGCCAGTGCTCAGAGGGAGCTTCCTGCTGAGGTGCCAGCCAACCACAGATGCAATAGAGCAGAGAGCCTCACCCTTGGTGCTTTATTATCACAAACATCAGGTACAAGCAAATAGTACAGAAGGGCTCTCCAGGCAGGCTCCTATGGATAAGCAAGAAAGCAGGGTAAGGAAGAAAAGGGAGCTCAGCACTCCTGGACCTCTAAGTTGACCACCACCCAGACCTCTTACTGATGGCTCATTTCACAGGGCTCACCTGTTCACCTCTCATAGCCAGGACGCGGTCAAGGTGTAAGCCCCAGGAAGGCACAGACAATGTTTTTCTCACCTCTGTATGCTTCCTGTGCCTAGCACATGTTGTTGTTGTTGTTATGCGCCATTGAGTCGGCATCGACTCATAGCGACCCCTCCTTGGGTTTCCCAGGCAGTATCACTATGGAAGTAGATTGTCCCATCTTCCTTCTGAGGAGTGGCTGGTTAGCAGTCAAGTGCCTTAGCCACTAGCTACCAGAGCTCCTGCCTGGCACATAGCAGGGGCTTAATAAGTGAAAAACTAGTGACCTTGGAGTTGATCTCAACTCAAGACGACTCCATGTGTGTAGAATAGAACTGTTCCACAGGTTTTCAGTGGCTACTATTTCAGAAGCAAATCATCAGGCCTTTCTTCTAAGGTGCTCCTGGGTAGACTCAAACCACCAATCTTTCAGTTAGCGGCCAGGTACATTAACCATTTGCACCATCCAGGGACTCCTAAATGAGGAACTAGAGGCCCTCTAAGGAGCCATAACAGCTGTTATTTACAAGAAAAAAAAAAAAAAAAAAACCAAAAACCCTAGGCTTGGTGAAGTTCATTAATTTGACCAAAGTCATAGCCAGTAAGCTGAAAAGCCAGAATTTGAACCCAGGCAGTCTGGTGCCTGAGCTTGCACCCTTTACCAATCCACTCTGCTGCCTTCCATATGTATAATACTCATATAAACAGTAAGCACACACTCCTGTAAACTACACACATACACAGCACACAGAACACTACCATGTTCACAGATGGCACACATATGTGAAATGCCAATTTATACATATTACACATAGCGGTTCAAACCCACCAGCCACTCCTCGGAAGAAAGGTTGGGCAATCCTACTTCCGTAGTGATACTGCCTCGGAAACCCAAGGAGGGGTCGCTATGAGTCGGGCTGACTCGACGGCATATAACAACAACAACAACAACAACAACACATACATAGTGACACATGAATGCATGTCTAGTCACTCATCTTTCTTGGCTGACACCTAGTACAGGGATGAGCTCCGTCTTGCGTAAGGGAGATCTCTGTGGTCCACATTGGTTGGCCCAGCAGGCTCACCTTGCATGCTGCATCCCCTTACCCAGCCCCTAGGCCTTGTCCCTCCAGGCAGCCAGGTTCAATGCAGGGAGTGTACTGCAGTTGACAAAGTCCTGGGGGAACTTGTTGGACATGAAGATGTTGTTCTTTGACACGGTGGTGATTCCTGTGTTGTCACAGATGATGCGGGGCAGGGAGATCTTGGCCAGGGCTTGCTTCTGCTGCCTGCTGAACACGTCCTTGTTCTCCCACCAAAACCTGCATGGGGACACCACGGCATTGTGCCTGAGGATAGCCTGGGCTGGGTGAGTGTCAGCTCCCTGGACGCAGGACACCACAGCCAGCCACTTCCCACCTGGAGCCAGAGGCCTTCAAACATGTGGAATCCCACTTCCAGTGCTGAGTGAAGCACCACCTCTTTGCCTCCATCCCAGCGGTCTCCAGCACCACTAATATCAATGGCACATACTGGTTAGCCAAGCCCTGTGCCCTGGCCCTCTGGGCTGCATCCAGTGGAGTGGGGGTGCAGAAGAGAATCTTGGGCATGGTTTATAGTTTATCCATTCAGAGAGCGACATCTTTTCCTAAGTTTCTCAAGGTGCAGTATAGGCTATCTGAGAACCGGACAGGACAGATGTCAGGACCATGATGAGATGATACTGGGGGAAGTCATGGGAAAGCAAGAACTGAACTGCTCAGCAGTGACTGACACATCCATGGTAGTAAAGGGTGGCACTATCTCTGTTCTCCCTCCATCACAATAGTGGCCCAGGTTCTTCCTTACTGCAGTCCCAATAGGTTCAGGGCACATTAGGGATGGCATTGGAACACACTGGGGAAACATGGGTTCTTTCAGCCCCTTCATTTGATAGGAGGGAGAGCACTGGGACCCCAACAGGATTGGGGATATGCCCACGGACACACAGCAAACCGCCACCTCCTTACCTATCACCATCTCGGAGCTTCCTGAACTGGGTCCCAATGATGCAGGCAAGGAGCGGGCCCACACGGCCATTGTGCTGCAGAGGCTCAGCCACACCACCCATCCAGATGTCGATGTTATCGGGTGTGCCATATTGGGCCATGAGCTTCTGTGCTAGGTCCAGGTTCTTCATCACAGTGCCCAGCTTACCCACCGTGTCGGGCTCAGGGAGCCCACAGAAGCGCCTCCAAGCATTGTACCCTGTGTAGGGGGAGAGGAAGGTGGCTCTGGGTAGGTCCCTCTTCTACAAGGTGGGAGGTCACTGGGGATAGCTGAAGGAGATTCACATATATATCAACTCAGAAAGCCTACCTTCCCAACACACTAAGGCCATATATGAAGGTATGTGAGGAAAGGGGGCTCAGAAGGGCTTGTCCTAGACTATAAGCCCCTAAGGAACCCTCAACCCTTGGTTCAAGACAAGGGCAGCAGCTGGACCTCTGCAGAACCCTCTCTGTCTCCCCCTTGTCCTCTCACTCTAAGACAAACCCTAACTTGTCGTAACTCTTGCCATATCCAAAAACAGGGATCTCCCATGGTCCACTTCTTGAACAATGCAAGTCTTGGACCTGAGAGGAGTGAAGTGTGTCTAGAAGGCTCAGCCACTTAAGCTGTCCTATAAGGCAGTACAGGTTTTGGGATCAGGTTGATCTGTGTTCAAATCCCAGCTCTGCCACTAACTTAGTGAGAACTTAGGCCGGTTCTGAAGCTCATCAAGCCTCACTTTCCTCATGAGCAAAATGGAAGTGATAACAGCTTCTCAGCATGTAAAATGAAGCAAAAAGAAATCACAGAGATAGACTTTCAGACTGTGAGGGGCTTGTTACTATCAAGATAATGCTCCAAGTTTGAGGGTTAAAGCAATGCAAAGGAGAGGAGAAGCGACCGAAAAGTGACCCTATGAGCCCAGGCAAAAGTAGGGGCCTGACCTCACACCACTTACTGAAAGCAAATTGCTGGAGTGGGGGGAAAGCTTGGGGTAGCTGGGGGCACTGGGGAGGAAAGGGACCCTAGAGTGGGAAGGGGAGCTGGGAGCCCAGTGGGCAAGCCACCTCCTTCTTTCCCCAACTGTGTGGCTGCAGGGAGGTGGTGTGGGGACCACTGGGGGACTCCTGCAGCCCCTCACCTGGGAGGCCATGGTCCCGGCTGCGCTGCATGTTCAGAGCTGGCAGGTCTAGCCCAATCCTCATGACCTGCTTGAACAATCGCTCCCGGATCTCATCTACCGCGATCTGGTTCTGGCGATTCAGTTTGGCAGGGGTGGCCATGAGGCCCCGGAGGATGGGGTCAATGCCACCTGAAGGCAAGAGGACAAGGTTGGGGAAGGACCTGGTTCAGTTTCAGAGCTCGGGTTGGAGTCAGGGACAAGCCCAGGCCAGGGTGGGGCTTGGAGAAGGGGCTGGACACATGCAGCTCCTGGTGCTGATGAGAGCCCAGTGGGCAGGCCTCGCCAGCACCATGTGAGCCCAGGACATCAAGGTCTCAGGGCATTAGACCATTTAAACTTGCAAGTCTGGAATGCCCCCAGCATCCTCCTCTTGGGTCATGGAAAATAACACACGGGAAGAAACCAACTCCCTATTAGAATCACCTCCACCCCATCCTTAAAGGGGCCCTTATTATTAGATGAGAAAGCTGAGTCAGGTGACTGGAGACTGGAAAGTAAAACGAGACCTCGAAGATGGAAGGAAACAGGATTTCTCCCCACCATGCATGCCACAGTGGCTGCGACAGGCTTAGGCATAGCAAGGATTGTGAGGCTGGCACACGACGAGGCAGTGTCTCGTTCTGTTGTACACGGGGTCACTATGAGTCAGAGCCGACGCGAGGCACCTGACAACAGCAGCATGCTCCCTGTGGCCAGGCCCACAACACGCCACCCTCAGATGCCCGTCCATTCTCCTGGCCCAGGTCGGGCTCACCTTCCAGCACTACCCTCCAGCTGGCAAAAAACACTTCACTAAGCGGGACACGGCTGATGGGCTGGTACTGATTGTCCAGGCGGAACATGAAGGGTTGGATGAGGGTGTGGCCATAGCGGAAGGCGTTGGTGAAGACATTAGAGATGCGAGGGTCCACCGAGTCATTGTAGCCACGGTATTGGGGTAGGTATTTCCTCATGGCGGTTGGCCCCAGCACCAGGGGCAAGTAGTCCCGATAAGTGATGATCTGAAGGAAAGACAGAGTGGCCTCTCTACTCATCCCTCCCTGCAGAATCTCCACCTCCTGGTTGGGAGGATCCCTTTCATCTGTCTATGGTCAGGAAATTGCCTCCCACAGTGCCTAAGGCATGTGACTACTAACCAAGAGGTTGGCAGTTCAATCCCACCAGCCACTCTGTGGAATGAAGACAGATAAATTTACTTCTATAAAGATTTACCACCTTGGAAACCCAATGGGGGTCACTATGAGTTAGAATCAACTTGATGGCAGTGGGTTTGGTTTTTTTTTTGTTTTTTTTTTTGGTAGTGGGGCGGGCCTGTATTCTAGTCTAACAGAGAGGCAACGAGCGGCATTAACGGAGCCCTACTGCTTGGTGTATGACCAAGGCTTATGACCTTGAGTCAGTTATTAACCTCTCTGAGCCTCAGGTCCTCAAATGTAAATTAAGGATAATTATGCTGCCCTTTGCCTTGTTGTTTCATGTTGTTCTCTAGGTTGTAATCTTTATGGGAAGGAGCCCTGGTTGCACAGTGGTTAAACACTTGGCTAGTAACTGAAAGGTGGTGGTTCAAACCCACCAGCCACTCTGCCAGAGAAAGATGTAACAGTCTGCTTCTGTAAAGATTTACAACCTTGGAAACCCTATGGGGCAATTCTAAGCTGTCCTTTAGGGCTGCTATCAGTCAAAATTGACTGGGTTTGATTTTGGTTTTTGGTAATCTTTATGGGAGCAGATTGCCAAGTCTTTTCTCCCAAGATAATGCTGGTGAGCTCTAAATGCTTACCTTTCAGGTAGTGCTTAACCACTGCACCACCAGAGCTCCTTCCCATTGCCTTTGTTTTTGTTATGTGCCGTCAAGTTGGACTCAACTCATAGCAACTCCTCCTTGGGTTTCCGAGGTGGTATCACTACGGAAGTAGATTGCCCAACCTTCCTTTGGAGTAGTGGCTGGTGGGTTTGAACCACCAGCCTTCTGGTTAGCAGTCAAGTGCCTTGCACTACGCCACCCATTGCCTTAGAAGATTAAATAACAAAAGGCTCTATTGGTCATTGCAATAGCTCCTTTGCCCTTGAGTTATTAACGTCTCATTTCTCCTACTAACTTACAAGTTCCAGGAGGGCTCACAAAAGGGCTCAACATATGTTTGTGGAAGGGGTAGGGGGCAGGAAAGAATGAAGGGCAGCTTCGTTTGATTTATCCCAGTGAAAAGGGAAGATGTAGAACAGCATCAGTCCAGATTCTGGACTCCAGAAGTTTCCAAGCTTAAATGAATCTCACTTAAGATCTTAGTGCAAATCGGAAACACACCCTTAGCCCCTGCAACTCTTTCTTTCACCAGAATAAAGGAGTCTTTTAAAAAGGTGTGTGTGTGTGTGTGTGTGTGTGTGTGTATGTCTGGGGAGAGAGTGAGATTGCTGAAGTATCAAAAGCAGAGAAAATGAGCCAGGGGCATTGCCCCAAGAATAAATGAGGCTAAGGCAGCCAGGTAGGCCATGGCAGAGCCAGCAAGAAGAGGTGAGTGGGTGAAGGAGCCGAGAACTCTGAAATCGAGGAAGGAAGAAGTATTTACTGAAGAGCTACTGTGTAGCAGGCACTTCAGACCCACCATTGAACTCTCCCAGCACTATTCCTGGACTCACAAGAAAGAAGAAAGGGGAACATGCCTGAGAGGAAGGAGAGGGAAGGACAGTAATCTTTGTCAGGTACATAATAGCTGCCTGGTGTTTTCCTAAGTGTCCTTTAACCCTTACAGCATCATGGATGAAGAAACTGAGGCTCAAGAGGTTTAAGTAGCTTGCGACGGATGCTGCTACAGTGGCCTTGGATTCCAAGTCTGTCTGAACCCTGCCATCCCTGCCAAGAATCACCAATACTCGGGACTGCCTACCTGCACCATGGCACCCACAATCTTCCGGGCTTCCTGGTAGAGCCGCTCTCCATCCCAGTGGGGGTTTAGGCGCTTGAGCTCTGTGGCCAGTCGGTTGTGCTCACGCAAAAATAGGGTGTGCATGGAGGTAAGCTCAGGCATCTCACTGGAGCGAGTGTCCCCTTGGGGAAGCAAAAGCAGTGATTCCTAAGACCTCCATCCCAGAAAGGACTCACTCCCCTGCAACTCCCTCTCCAACCAAGGCCTAAAGAGCTCCCCTCTTCTGTACTCACCTTCCCATGCCACACTCCTATAGGAGGCTACCCCTGATGCCTAAGTCTGCCATAACAGCTTCTTCTGTTTAGGGTCACAACTGGTTGGAAATGCTCACTTAATAGGCATCACATCTGACACATGACTTACGACCTTCCCATACCCGAGAGCGGGAGATCTCAAGGACAAGGACCATGGCTTGTGCCTTTTTGTATCTGACCTTCTCAGCACACACTTAGACACACAGAGTTTAACACAATGAGTGTCTGGTACAAAGTAAGAGACCCATGAATGCTGTCTGGTTGACTGTGGGAAAGGCCAAAAAGTAGTATGCATGTTGGCACTCCCTACTTCCATGATCATGCCAGATGCAGGAATGGATTACAGCATGCTCTCCTGCTGAAACTGGATGGAGCTCAGAATCCTTCTCAACCCAGGACCTGAGAAAGCCACCTTCATCTGATCAGAATTGCCATCTCTACCCTAACTACTACTAATTGTCTGGCTTGCTCTGGGGGAGGGGGCTAGGGCACAGGACATCTGGTGTCCACATCTGAGTCTGTGTTCAAAAGAACTGAGGGAAACTGATCCTTCTATCCTGCCCCAGACCCCTCCCAGGAGGGACCAGAGGGCTAGGGCCAGGCCTGCTTCAAAAGGACACGAGGTTCAGTCCTGACCAGCTCTAGAGGCTGGTGAAAGAAAATTCTCTGACAGCAGCATCTCTACCCCATGAACTTCCAGAGGTCCTGAGGATCCAAGCCTGGGGTGTTCAGCTCTTCCACACCAGGCTGGAGGCAGACCAGAGGAGGTCAGCCCACTTCTCAGGAACTTCACACAGGTGCTGTCCTTGACAAGCCTCCCCACCAGCATAAACCTTGGTTCTCTTTCCATGGCTAAGGCAGTGGTGGCCAGAGGGAAGACCCTCTCGGGTTTACACTGGGCATTATCACTAGCACCACCCAAACCATATCCTGGGCCCACCAGTTCTTTAAATTTAAAATCCCATCCTCTCTTATTAAGGTTAGTCATACGGGCAGTTCCAGAGCAGCACTGTCCGATAGAACTTTCGGCAATGATGAAAACATTCGACATCTACACTGCTCAGTATGGGAGCTGCTAGCCACATGAGCTCTGACAGCATAGGGCCTAAGGCACTTGACTGTTAACCAGAAGGCTAGCGTTCAAACCCACCAGCTACTCCTCGGAAGGAAGATTGGTGATCTACTTCCGTAGTGATACTGCCTCGGAAACCCAAGGAGGGGTTGCTATGAGTGGGATCCAACTTGATGGCAGTGAGTTTTGAGTTTTTAGCCACATGAAGCTACTGAGCACTTGAAATGTAGCTACTGCAATGAGGAACTGAAATTTTATTTTTTTACTTAATTTAACTTAGATGGCTACATGGTGCTAGTGGCTACCCTACTGGATAGCGCAGTTCTAGAGGTTGATGGTGTTACATGGTTCTCTGTACCTCTAGTTCTCTGTCCCTGAGGGACCCTACTCTCTTCGCTGCAAAGTTCAAAGGGGAAAACAAAGGTAGAGGGGTAGACAGAGACAGATGGACAGAGGCTCCTCAGCCATCCCTCTTTCTCCATGTTGGGATTTTATTTTTGGCTTTTCTGGCTCCATCCAACTCATCACCAAGGCAACCATTTAATATTGTGAAGTTGGTGAGGAAGGAGTCTCTAAATGCAAACCCATAAGCCTCTCACCCTCAGGCCAGCTGTGACTCCAGCAGGGCGCACCCCCCTGAGCCTCCCCAAGTCCTGCCCAGGGACTGACCTGCCAGGAAGCAGGGGATTCGCACAGAGCGGTTGGTGAGGAGACAGGGGTCGTCATGCAGATTGTCAAAGGGGAGCAGGGCCCTGCCATTGTCAGTGAAGCGGTTGTTGACCTTCAGCAGCCCCAACTGGTTGGTCAGGTTACGCAGGTCCCTGGCCAAGGGGTCCTCGCTGCCATACACCATGCTGGCATCCACAAAGGAGGTGAGAGCGTTGATCTGGTTGCGGATGGTGATATTGCTCTGGGTGCAGGCTGGGCAGGAGCGGAAAAAGGGGATGCAGTCCTCCTGATTGCTGATTCGGGGGTCATTGGGCGGGATCTGGGGCAGAGAGAGAGGTATGGGCAGTGGCAGGGATGGCTCTACCCCTGCTCATCCACCTGAGGGCCTGGATCCTATCTGGGCAGCAGCCCTGGAGCCCAGAACGAGATAGGGTGACTGAAACACCAAAGCAGGCTTCCTTGGGACCTCTGGCCCCTTCAGCCTGTCAGAAGGCTCTCCTAGACCCCCACATGACCACTGCCTGGGGGTCCACCAGCAGGACTCCTCTGAGCTTCAGAGGTGAACTGGGGAATGGGAGAGCCCTCCCGCCGGGGGGCATCCTCCAACTCCTCCCCACTAAACTGTCTCCTTCTCTCCTCTCCCCTCTTCCATGGCTTTTTTTCCTTCACATTCTCACTGTGCCGCCTGCCTCGTCACTATCCTTTCCCGTCTGTCTTCCCTTTTCCTCTGCCTTCCCCTTCTTCCTGTCTCTCCCTGCCTCCCTCTCAGCCCCGTCTCTCTCCTGTCTTTCTCTCTGTCTCCCTTCTTCCTTCCCTCCTCCTGTGCCTCTTAGTCCTTTCCCCCTTCTCAGCATGTGCTTCAGACCCACACCTGGACACCCCTGGACTCTGTGTAATGTGGGGGTGGGAAAGGCACTCCTCCCAGGGGAGGAAACACAGCTGAACACAGGGACACATACACTTGGAGGTTTGAAGCACCCTGAGAAGAGTGCTCACCCCAGAACTTTCTCCCCAGGCTAAAAAGAGCCTGTGACTCCACCAATAAAAGCCATTCCTGGAAGAGACAGTAATAGAATGAGAGACCCTGGCTGACCACTCTCGCTCTGTGTGTGTGTCTGTGTGTGTGTACACAGGCATTGACTTCGAACATAGGAGGTGGATGGGCAAGGCCAACCTTACCCTTTAGAGGCTGGGGAAGGAAACCTGGGTGCTTCCAGGAGCAGTCACCCCTCCTCCCCACCCAGCACGCTACACTGGGCAGGAAGGATGCAGCACCTTGAGTGGGAAACAGGGTGGCTGCTGCAGGCAGCTGGTCTCACAGTTGACGCCAGTGACGAAGGAGACCCGGGCAGCCGGCTCCGGGGTGAAGTCGAGGTCATGGTCGATCAGCTGGCCCCACTGCATGAACATGAGTGCACGTTCCTGGTCCGGGGTCAGCTGCTCCGTGGGGAAGCGCACGATTTCATTGGAGACCGCGCGAGCCTGCACAGGACGGGACGGAGCATCAGGCGGTGGCTGGCCGTGACGCCGCGTGGCCTGGGCCCGGCCTCGAGCCCTCGGTCCGCCAGCACTCACCAGGGGCACGGGGAAGCCGCCGCGCTTGACCCCGGGCGTCCAGCCGAAGGGCAGCGAGAAGCCGTCCTCGTACTCTGCAGGCAGCCAGCGCACAAAGGCGCGGTTGGAAGACCCCAGTGTGGGGCTGCGTCTGCAGCGGAGGACAGAGCGCTGAGCACCAGATGGCGCCAGCGCCCGACCTTGGACCCCGAAGCCTCCCCAGCCGGCCGCACCTGTTGTTGCATTTGCCGGTGATGGTGCGGTACTTATCGTTCTCAGGGCACGTCACCCCCACATCCTGGTAGGCGCAACCGCTGGACTTCGAGAGCAGGTTCAGCTGGGAGGGCGTCAGCAGGTCTGCCAGCCAGGGATGGAGGTGTGGGAGCTGAGCAGCCATCCCCACCCACCCCCTCCCACCGCTCCCTAGCCTAGGCTGTGTGAGACTAAGGACCTCAGAGACCGTGGGTGGGGATCCAGCTGAGGATTTGGAGGGGATGCTAGGAAGTCCCTGAGACTCCGCAGAAGGAGCAGTTGGGGGGATGATGGAAGTGGCTGGGTCACTAGGAAGAGTCACCCTAGAGGGCTAAGGTGGAAGGGGCAACAGTACCAGTGACGTTGAAGGGCCTTCGCCACAGAGGCCGCAGCTTCTGCTCCAGTAGGCCTAGGGCCACGTGCAGGTAGTCTGCTGCCCTCACAGCCGTCCTAGTGGCTGCCACCGGCTGCTTGAAGTAGGACAGGAGTTCCATGGGGCTGGCTGAACCGCTGCGAAGGCGTTGCTTGATGCTGTTTGGAGAAGGGAAGGTGAAGACTGGAGAAAGGGTACAGACCCACTCAGCAACCCTAGCCCACGGATGGACACACAGGACACAGCATAGACAGCCCACAGGGGGGAGAGGGCTTTTCTTTATAAACAGGGTATGATGTCGGTCAAGACAGATGTTCTTATATCTAGAAACACAAGGACTGACAGATCCAGCTCCAACCCAGCCTCCTTTCACACCCCCCAATCCCATCCCACAAACTCCCTGAAGGCCCCCCACCTTTCCCGCCGCTCCTTGTAAGCCTTGTCCACTAGCTGCTTGGCCTCCTCCATGCAGGTCAGCACCATCGAGGTCTCCACCTCCCCCAGGAAAGCTGCCCGGAGCAGAAGTTATGGGGTCAGGATGGACCCAAAGCCCACCATCCAGACCTCAGAGCCAGGGAGGCCTGTATTGAGGATAGGAGTCCCTAAGAGTTAGAAGCACCCCAACAACAACGTCTTTGTTCCTTTCTAGGCTATTACCTGGAGCGGCACCCTCAGAGGGTGGGAGTGCAGCTAAGATGGCCAGGAGCCCTGGCAGGGCCAGGAACAACTTCATCTCTGCAATAAGACCCCCAGCTCAGTCAGTGCCCTGAGCTCCACTGTCCCTCTCCTCCTGGGCCACTCCTTCCCACCTTCACACCCCAGCCCCACCTCCCCCAGCTCTGGCTATGCACAGAGTCCAGGCCTCCTTGAGGGAGGAGTCCCCAGTGCCCTCCTGCCCTCACTCCTCACCTCCACAGCTCACGTGGCATTGGCAACACCTCTTCACTGACGCTGGACTTTTATGTCTTCCAAAGTAGAGGGAGGGGTGGGGCAGAGGGAGGTCCACCCAGGAAGACTGGATTTTCCTCCCCAAAACCCTATGGGGCAGTCTGCTCTGTCACATGGGGTCACTATGAGTAGAAGATCCACTCAGTGGCACCTAACAGCAACAGCTAGGGGTAGGGTGCACAGAGAGGGACCCCTGATGTGGGGGAGAGGAGCAGCAAAGAGAAACAGAGTTGTTTCCAACCTTTGACTTAGCATCCCTAAACCACAGTTTCTTGTCTCCCCATTGTGTGCCTAGACCAGTCCTGTCACAAACGGGTACAAACAGCTACCTTTATTTCCAAATTCTGGAAACACTGAGCACCCAGGGTTTCTCTGAAAGGGACAAAAATCAATCTAAGGAATGATGTGGAATGGAGTGACCCAGGGATGGGGTTTGTAGAGTAAGGGGAGATCTGGAGTGATGATGACCTGATCAGCCTCAAGGGACCATTCCAACAATAGCCTTGTCCCTGGGTCCAACCCTGGTGGGCAGCCCCGCATTTTGTCAAGTGCTAAAGGCACAGGAAATCTGGCTAGGGACCGTTGGTCTTCACAGGAAAGAAGTTAACTTCCTCTATCCTCTCCACTCTCCCCTTTCTTCTTGGCTTTTAGAAGGGGCCTATCCTCACATCCCCACCATCTGCTCCTGAATTTCAGGAAACAGGAGAGAGCAGAGCTGGTTGTGGTTAGTGGTCAGTTGGGGGATGCAGCCCTGGGCCTCTCTGGGACAAGATCAGTGGTTGGGAATTTTTGGGTTAAATTTCAGGATCATTCTGAAATAAAAGAGGGGGAAGTTTGTTCGTTTCTAGGCAGGAAAAGTACCCTATGACTTATGACTCTGTCCACTTTCCTGGGTGCTCGAGAAGCTGGGCACATGCCAACCACAGTTCCTGTGGCCTGTCTTGGTCTAGCCTCATCTTCTGCCTCTGGCCACCTTCTTGCCACTCATTCTTGTGTCCTGTGCCCACACTACACCTTGGCCAAGGAACAAAGGAAAGTGCTGCATCTGGGACATCTTCCCAGAGAGTCTGGGTGTCCCGTCATCTGCTGGGAAGCAGAGCCCAGGGCCCTTGAGAGAGGAAACCATTCTTCCAGCCTTGCTCTGCCAATGACTTGCTGTGCATGACTGTGGGCAGTGGCTCTTTGTGATTTAGATGGAGAATATGGCTCTTGAAGGAGATAGTCCCAACTAAGCTTGTCCAACAAGTTACCCTCCAGCTTCCTATCCTGGAGGCGGCCTCTAGAGGGCACTGCTAAAACCGGTACGTCTCAGAGACTGTAGTCATTTGAAGGATACCCCCCCACACACACACACACATACACAAACTTCTCCCCTGTCCCCACTTACCCCTCTCAAACATCCCTACCCCCAAGGGTGAACTCCAACTGCCTGTGGGATAACGAGCCCTCTCTGCTACTGATTGCAAAATAGCTTGTTCTTTCTTAATGCTATTTGGGACAGAATTCAGTTAGGATTACAGCCAGATTTCCTGTGTGTGTGCCTGGAGAGAAGGAGGTGCCCCTGGAGGCTATGGAAGCTGGGGAGACATGCCAATTACACCCAGCCCACAGACCTTGTTTTCTCTCTCCTTAAAATTTGAAAAATTAATTTTGAGTTATATAGGCAATAGCTGGACATATTCCACATAAAATCAAAATGTTACAGATTAGATTAAAGCCCCCTTTAGATGAGGTTATAGTACCATCCCCAATGCTAGTCCCTTTCCTTCATTCCTTACATATAAGCCCTGTCATGATTTTTTTGTGTCATCTGCATATTGCAGCTCTTTAATGAGTCTTCCTGCAATCCTGATGCTATGTTCTTCTTCACATAGTCCAGCTTCGCAGATTATTTGGTCAGTATATAGATTGAATAAATATAGTGAAAGGAACAACCCTGATGCCCTTTTTTTTTTCTGATTTAAACCCATTTTAAGTCCCCTTATTCTGTCCAAATGACTGACTGCCTCTTGGTCTATGCACAGGTTGTCATGAGCACAACTAAGTGTTCTGGAATCCCCATTCTCACAATGTTATCCATCATTTGTTATAGTCCATACAGTTGAGTGCCATCACATAGTCAATAAAACACAGATAAACATCTTTCTGGTATTCTTTGCTTTCAGCCAAGATCCACCTGAAAATGAAGGAGACTTAAAGCATTTACTGATGAAGATCAAAGACTACAGCCCTCAGAATGGATCAACATAAAGAAAAACAAAATCCTCACAACTGGAGCAATAAACAGCATCATGATAAATGGAGTAAAGATTGAAGTTGTCAATGATTTCGTTTCACTTGGATCCACAATCAATGCTCATGGAAGCAAAAGTCAAGAAATCAAACGATGTATTGTGCTGGGAAAATCTGCTTCAAAAGACCCCTTCAAAGTAGTAAAGATTAAAGAAGTCATTTTAAAGACTAAGGGACGCCTGACCCAAGCTGTGGTGTTTTCGTTCACCTTGCATGCATGTGAACGTTGGACGATGAATAAAGAAGACCCGAAGAAGAATTGATGTTTTTGAATTATGGTGTTGTTGAAGAATATTGAAAATACCACAGACTGCCAGAAGAACAAACAAATCTATCTTGGAAGAAGTGCAGCCAGATAACATACTATACAAAACATTGTTTCACTTCCTACTTTGGCGAGTAGCAACTGGGATCTTAAAAGCTAGCAAGCTGCCATCCAGATGCAATGATGGGTCTCTCCTCATCCAGAGTAAAGAAGAATGAAGAAAACCAAAATTCATGGAAACAATTAGTCCTAGAGACTGGTACACCATCCAATCTGCAGCCTATACAACTATGAGACCAGAAG